ACCCTTGTTTGAAACAAAACTTGGGTTTTTCTTCTTCGCATCACATTCTCTCTGTTTCTTACTTTACTCTTCTTTTCCTTCGTGATTAGTCATGGTTTGCTATATGATTATGTAAACTGTTATTATGAACTTGAATTGGAACAGCCGCAGGGAGATTACATAGAGTTGCACAGGAAGAGAAATGGGTATCACTGATAACTTTGAGCATAAATGCAACAAGGAGGATCGCAGGTGCTCGCAGACTGCCCAAAAGGTTTTACCCTAGTTAGTCCCCTTGCAATATCTCTTTCGAATTTTTCTCATACCTTTCATTTATTGAATCTGAAATTTTTGGTTTTCTCCTTTACGACTCCAAAGAGCTTTGAGTATCAAAGTAATATGTTTGTAAGAGATGCTATACTGAAATGGCCCAAATGAAGGAAAATGCAAGGAGCTTTTTAAAATCAAGTTATTGGTTTAGTTCATTTTTTGTAAGGATTATTTTAGCTCATTTATGGGTTTAGTTCACTTTTGAAACACCCTTCTAGCAGTTTTGGGTTACTCTTTTATGAGATATCATCTAATTGTTTCCTCCGTCATATCATATTTGCTGTGTTTACCTGGACAAGGCTAAAGTAACAACTACAAGTTAGTTTGATATGAAGAAAAAAAACATCAATTAAAGTCTAAACTTTAAGTAGTTAATTGAATTTGAATTCTTAAGAATTGTAAATATAAAGAGAATAATGTTATTATTGGAATTGCATCATGCATGTTGGGACCTCCCAATGTGGAAAGGGTTGTCAATATAAATTGGGATGGAGGGACCGAGGGAGTATACCTATATTTCACATAATATTGCAGGTTATTTTTAAGCGTCATTGCTATATGATATGTAATGATTGGGATTAGGAGTTTTAATTAGTTAGGCCTATTTGGTTGCTAAGTCCCTATTATCTTAGATTGAGGCAATCTTTAAGCATCAGATATAATCCATAATGGTAATGCCTCCATATATCTAAATAATGTAATTGCATTTCCATGTGTAGCATAATCCAGTTGTCTCACTCAGGTTTTTACTTAGGTTTTTCCTTTTCTCTCAAATCATTTGTAGGATCCCTGATGCTTATTAGGTGATTGGTCTACTTTTTGTTGTATTTGAGGCTGAACAGAACGTGTCTTTCTGACTTAATAAATTTCTTTTTCATATGTGCATCCTGATAGTGGAAGAGAACGGTCAAAAGCAACTTTTGCTGGGCCAGGTTTTACCATGAAACTATCGGTTTATCGGACCGATGGGTTTGCGCCTTCTTGAAAGCATGTGACACTTCCTGAACTTAAATGCACGTTCAATCTTGAGAGCATTGGGGCGAAAAAATCTTAATGGTCCAAATTTTACATCTCTAGGCTGGGTGTTGTAACCAAAGGAACCAATAACCATCATTGAGATAATCTTCCTTTTTTAATGGTGCATCCGAGTCTATGTAGTTGATGTTTCATATCTTTAATTTTTTCTGTGAATCTAGGTAAATGTCAGTGAGCTTGGTCTTGTCACCCCTGCTGGAAAATTTGTATGGGGTAAGGTGTGCTTTCGGTGTTTGTTACTCCATCGTCTCTCTAGATATTTCTTTTAGTTGCTGCTATGTTGTTTGGATCCTCGAAAATGCTGCTGAATTTGACAAGGACATTTTTGGAGGATCCGAGCAAACATAGGTTTCTGATGATTCATTTCTCAGATGGTGAATGCAGGGAAACACAGCCCTATTGACGAAGAACCCTGAAAATGATGGTTCTATCAATGCAGTTTGCCTTGTATAGTAGTTAAGTATAGAGGAGAAAGGGGTCAATTTTGTGTTGTAGACTTGCATAACTGATCTATTAGTCTCATCAGAATTTTCTGATGCTGGTTTTGTAGTGATGTAGAACACCTAATGGAGAGGGAAAAAGGAAGTATGAAGCAACACTTGAAATCTATCATTCACCTAGTGGTGTGATAGTGCTCCTGGGTTAATTTATACATTATGTTTTCCACTTCATAATAATGCTGGAGGTGAATTGCACCTTGAGCTTTGGTATAGTGGTTAGAGCTCAACACATAATGTGTGGGTAATGTGCACGTTACAGGCTCGAATCTTGCTGCTGACAAATTTTGGTATTTAAGGTGAGAAGGATGGAGGGCTGGGCATGTTGTCCACCAAGTTTCGAACAGTGTGCTACTAGACTTAGATTTCTAGGTTATAAAAAGGAGTTCCTGCAGGTGGATTTCGATATAGGTTTTACAAGTCTACCTTGTTAATCAGCTGATAACAGCATCAAATTCTATGAGCTTTAACTACCAATATAATTAACAACGGTAGCGCCCCTGCAAGCTTCACAAGGGGTTATTTTGTCAGACACAGCCCCTGTTTGATCTGGAAAAATAACAAAATGTTGCTTGATCCATTTATGGTGTTGATTGAATCCGTAGACAATAGGGAACAGGATGAGGAAAATGCTTTTGTGTTTTAAAGTGGGATTAGTTTAGCTTATATGAATGTTTGACTCCTTGTTGATTGGGTATGTGAATTTTTACCGTATTCCATAAAATATTACTAGCTCCTTATATCGTAGCCGTGCTTCAAGTAAACATTTTCTTTTCTATAAAACTTATCGTACAATGTAACCAAGCAACTCCGAACAATGCAAAAATTTTAGAAATACCTTGTGCATTCAAAAGAAAGGAGCTATGTTTGTACAATTTTCTTCCCCATGTTTGGTTTGGCGAATTAGAGGAAAGGAAAGCAAATGGCAGAAAGTTAAATTTTCTTCAAGTTTCCCTTAAGTAGCAAGCATCAAGAATTTTCTTTTGAAAAAAAGAAAAAGAAAAACGATCTGTTCTCACAAGCGATAATGGAATGAAGTTGCAATTTACTAGTTGAAAGCTAGAAACTTAGCACAACAACATTGAGGATAGCTTTATTGCTCTTTCCTCTGCAGTGAGTTAATAGCTCTCTCAAGCTTTTTACATGATTTTTTGTCCATTAAAGAAATACCTTCCCCTTGTCAACGCTAATTCTTGTTTAAAGTTTGTTGTTTTAATGCATCTTACTCGCTATTCACGGCAGAATTCTCCCTCGAATACATGGACAAGTTGTCCATATTAACTCTTTTGTTTGTATGGTTCGAACGTTAACCCGAGACAAGTGCAAATCACTTCCATGTATTCACACAGCCTACCGGTTAATAAAGTAGACAAGGACTTTAAAAGACTATGATTCACATTTTAGGAAAAACAAAAATACAAAAAAAAAAAAAAAAAAAGATACATCAAGTAATTTGTGTCTATTTGTCTAAATTTTAATTATTATTTTTGGGCTTATAAGGAGATTTATATTAGAAAGTAAGTAATGTAACGGTTTTAGTTATTACAAGTCAAGATTGTTCAAATGTTCAAGTTTTTAGAACAATCCTTATTGAAATTTGATAAAGCAAAGAGAGGAGGAGATAAGTAGTATGGGGGATGCTATGGCTGTCGTCTATCTGAGGGTGTGAAGTTCATGCCATGCTTAGCCAAGGTATCTGCTACAATATTAACTTCTCGATAACATGTCTAAGCTCCACGCGACTCAGAGTGACCTGCAATAAAAAATAATAGGTAAATAAAATTCATTGCCATGTTCGACTATGGTGCATAGTACCTGCGAATCAGTTTCTACTTGAAGCGCCCAGAGGCTAAAGTCCTTAGCTAACTGTAACCATAGCCGAAGTGCTACTAATTCAGCTTCAGTAGCAGAGAAGCAGATTAAACTGTAAATCCAAAGATTCAGTAATTGTTGGAGTTGCGAAAAATCCCTATAGCTCCCACTCTGTGAGTCGTTTGATTCAAGGCTTCGTCGATGTTAACCTTAACGAAATTATTAGGCGGAGACTACCATTTAATGTAAAAAGTGCACGTATTAACTTTAGGATAACGGACTGGTGAAAGAAAGTAAAGTATATGATTAGGGGTGTCAATGATTCGGTTCGGCCGGTTATTCTATAAAATTTGTACCATATCAATTTTTCGGTTATACTATTATGTATAACCAAAATTAGACTTTTCGAAACCGTCCCAATCATGTCGGTTTCTCTTCGGTATCGGTACGGTTCGGTTAATTTTCGGTATTTTTTTTATATCATGTAAAATTCACCAGTAGAAGTGGAATGCAATAACATACATTATTTTATTGGACTTAGCAAAACTATCTAGACATTTTTACTGTTTAAAGGGTGATGAATTAAAAAAAAGAAGAAGAAGAGATGGCTAGAGTATAGATCCATCAACTATTCTACAACAGCGTAAAAGAAATCAAACAAAGTCAAAGAAAATATAAATCACACGAGTTGAAAGATATACCAAGCTGAGACTCAAGAATAAAATCTATAGAAGATTAAATATTCAAAAAGATAAATCCAAATTATATGAAAGGAAACATATTCAATACATTGTAGTTTGCTACTCATAATCGCTAGAATACTTTGTATCTTGCTAATAAAGATACTTGAAATAACTTAGTTTAAGTAAAAGTAGCATAATAGGTTTTAAGAATTAGTATTTTGAGTTTAATTACTTGTTTGCTTGTAATGGTTTTCATAATTCCAAGGCCCAAAGAAAATTTAATGCATTATTACTTTTAAACTTACTAAATAAATATATTTTCTACATGTAAAATTAATTCGGTACGGTTCGGTATTTTTTCGGTTTACTTTTATAAAATAAAAAATCTACCCTAATTATCGATGCGGTTACAGATTTATATAAAAACCTACGGGTTTCTTAAAAAGAAACCTAAAAATCGGTTCGATACGGTACAGTTCGATCGATTTAGTCGATTTTCGAATATGCATTGACACCCCTCGGTATGATGGTAGACAACTCCTTGCAGTTGAATCGAACAACATCGTTCTAAATAAAATCATTTAAATACACGGATTTTACTAAGGTAGGTATCTTTTTATAGGTAGACATATGTTTTTGCCGACCCAAACCAAACAACCAAAAATTAACATAAAAAGCTACAATTAATGTCTCATCACCCACTTCCCTCCACTAACTGTCCAAAATACACCAAAGAGCACATCTCCTTTAAGATACTTCTCTCCCCTTTGCATAAATCCCAAACTCAACACACACACACACACACACTTTGAAACTCAGTTAATCTTTGCAAAAATGGCCACTTCAATTTTCCTCTCACATCCTCTTTTTCATTTCCCTCCTTTATCATCAAAACACCATAAAATTCCAACTCCCAAACAAACCTCAGCCATAATAGCATGCCATCCCTCCATCAAACACACCAAGAAACCATTTTTCAACTCCCATTTTCCATTTCCTTACAAACCCAGAAAGGAAATTTGGTCTATTTCAGTGGGAAGAACACAAATTGATGATAAAGATGAAATCTTGGTGGGGGAAGATTCAGCTGAATTCCAGTTATCCAAACAAAAGATTTCATCTTGGGTTTATTTTACTGGGATTCTTGGTGTTGTTCTTTATGTTCTTAATGTTATTTGGATTGACAATTCAACTGGTTTTGGAAAATCATTCATTGATGCTGTTTCAAGCATTTCAGATAGCCATGAGGTGGATATTTATTGCTTATTTTCTTTGGTTAATTCTGTTTGTATCTTCTATTTTTTTTTTTTTTTTTTTTGAATTGGTTTTTTTTTTTTTCTGAATTGGGTCTTGAGATATTGCTTTTAGTTTTATTCTTTACTTGGTTTTAGTTTAACCTGTTACTCCTTTCATATCATTCATTTCATTTGAAAAAGAAGCTTGTGGTGTTAAATATGCGTTATAACATTTGTGTGGCTATAAAAGTTTTTCGGGTATAAAAATATGAAGTTTAAAGTTAAATGTGTTTTCAGGTACTAAAATGTGTCATTCTTTTTTAATGGACTAATAAGTAAATAGTGTTACATAAACTGTAATTGAATTGAAATAGGAAAATCTTTTCTAAAGAAGAAATTTTAAATGAAAAGAGAACTACTTGAGGGGAGTTACATTATTCTATTTTCTTTTTCTTTAACTTTACTCGATAGTGATCCTAAATTTTGTAGTTTTCTGACAGAGGACGGAGTTCCCACTTCTTCCTCATTTGCAGTCCTTGTTGCATTTCACTCAAACTTGGTATTTTGACAATCTCAATAAACATGCTTTTGCCGTGCTTGGTTATATTCTATATGCATATTTTTTTAATGGTGATGTCGAGCCAGCTTTTGCGCACCTTTACTATTTTACCTGGTAATTATATCCTCCTACAAGTATAGGTGTCGAGTAACTCTACCCGCCAAGCGTTAGGCATTACCTAACTCCTTTTTTTTCCTCTGCGAAATTTGAACCCTGGTCTAACAAGGTCTTTGTTTGAGTTTCATTGACTGCTAGCTCACGCATTTGGGTGCAATATCATCTACTAACTATTATCTGTTAAATTTGGTTTGAAATTGAAGTAGGGGTCAAGATTCTTAATTTCTGTTATCTAGACTTTAGCATATAAATAATAGGACCTTTCTGTTCAGGTGGGTGTTAAGGTTCTTGCTTGAGTTAATAAGTGCTAATTGTAGCAAATATATTGCTCATTTGAGCTTGACTAATGCCTGGGGCAGTTAAGTTGGAATTGGCGTATGCGCTAACATATTGCGGCTACAACTTTGGTAGTTTGGTGAATAGCTACTGTTTTGTCTGACCTTCTTTTTCTTTTTTCATTGCTGCTCTTTTGTCTGTAGTAACTAAAATATCATGTCATAAAATGTGTGACTAGCAATTCTTTGTGTCACTCTCTATTACATAAGTTATGCAAGATTATTTCACTTATCTAGTGACCTAAATAAGATGTTTTACAATCATGATTTGTTAAAAAGAAGAAGGTAAAAGAAATATCTGGAACCAGTGGAATAAATGTCATTCTTACAGTTCCAAGAATTGTTATTTTAAAAATTTAATTACGAGTGAGTTTAGGACTATATTTCAGGACAATAATATTTTTGCATAGGTTGTTAGACTTTTTTTTGAATCTCTTGAGAAAAGTGCTCTTTCTTCTTTTTCTTCCTTTTTTATTCTATTGTTGGTAGTGATACAGTTGGAGAAAAGTACCAAAAGGTGAAAGTTCAATAGAGTATTTGATTAATGTGATTCAAGAATATGATCAATCTGAACTTGGAGTTGAGGCATTAGCTGCATTTGCTCTTACTGGAATGAAACCTCCACCATTAGGCGAACATGAGATGTCAGTTGTCCCTTCATTACCAGCATCGTCACACAGGTCTAACAAACGCCTTGATCATTTGCGAACAAATGCAAAGAAGGATCAAGATTTTGATCATAGTCTGAGAAGTCCCTGGAATTCATCTAAGTCTTGGAGTGCAAGCCACAGTGGAGTTCTTCAAACACTTGGATTTTCTCCTGCTACACAGCGCGCGGATCATAGAAACCCAAATCCGATAAGGTAAAATATTCTTTTATATCAACGCATTACGCATGAGTTGTTCTAATTCCTTGATCAGTATGTTAGAATGTCCAACATTGTCTGAGGAATAGACTGTTGTCTCCTTATATGAGCTTGCTTTTGAAGTTGAGTTAGGTCTAAGGTCCATTTTCTTAATATGGTATCACAGTCGGACCCAATGCAAAATCCGTTTTGTGCCTCTATATAATATATTTTGAATCCCCGTGACACTAGCCAAAAACATAACTCAGTCGTTAAGGGGGTTCAAAATCTTTTGTAAGGTCGTTGGTTCAATTCCCACTGTCTATAGTCTCTTCTAGTTTTTAACTTTCCTTTTTTGCCGCCATTNGCTAGTGGTGCAAGAGTGTCTCTTGAGCGAATGGACAATCTTCATCTCATGAGCTAACTTTTGAGGTTGAGTTAAGCGCGATGTCTATTTCTTAGCACATGATTCGAAAGCTAATGATAATTTTAGTCGTGTAATAAAACATGTATGTTTAACGCCTATTTTCACTTGGTTAGCTGTTTAACTTGCACAGAATCCGATCTGTGTTAAAGCTAGATCTATATTATCTGACTAACTGCCATATGATATTTGTGCTTTTCTTTGTGCAGTTCATCTCCAGGTGACTTTGCCTATACTAGTGAAAATTATCAAAGTACTACAACCCCTCACACTCAAAGTAGTGAATGCACTCTCAACGAAAATGATTTTTTGACTCCATATGATGCAGCCAACACCAATACATACCAATATCTTGGCCCCAAGTTTGCAAATTCATTCTTATCAGAGACATGGATTCTCATGAGAAGAAACTTTATAAACATCCGACGTACCCCTGAACTCTTCCTTTCTAGGCTTGTTGTGCTAACAGTCATGGGAATTATGATGGACACAATGTTTATGCATCCAAAAGAAAACCTACAGGGGATAACGGATCGCCTTAGTTTCTTCATCTTCACAGTTTGTCTGTTTTTTCTTTTCGTCTAATGATGCTGTCCCGGCTTTCATTCAAGAACGTTTCATCTTTGTCCGCGAGACATCTCATAATAAGTATAGAGCCTCTTCTTACACAATTGCAGGTCTAGTCACTTGCCTTCCTTTCTTAGCTGTTCAAGCTGCAGTTTATGCACTAATTGTTTGGTTTGCACTATCTCTTCGCGGACCATTTATATACTTCTTGATTGTTCTATACATGTCACTTCTGTCCACAAACTCTTTTGTTGTGTTTGTGAGTTCAGTGGTGCCAAATTACATAATAGGATATGCTGTTGTTATTGCTTTTACTGCTTTGTTCTTCTTGTTTTGTGGCTATTTTTTAAATAGCCATGACATGCCATCATATTGGAAATGGATGAATTATATTTCAATTATGAGTTATCCATATGAAGGGCTACTTATGAATCAGTTTCAGACATTATGTTGGCATGGGCTATTTTATACAGAGTCCTGTTTTATATTGTTCTCCGATTCTTTTCGAAGAACCAGAGGACATGAACTGCCACAACGAGAAGCAGTTAGAGGCGGATTCAAGATCTTAAGACTGTCATTACTCTTTTGTAACAATTGATGTGATCTTAATATTTTTTTTGAAATTCTTAACAATATAAATATAGTTTCAAGCTAGCAGAATTATTTCCAAAATAGTGAATAACCTTCTTGGAAACTAGATTAGTGGATTGATTGTAAGTGTAGACGGATTTAGGATATATTTTACGAATTTAATTGAACTCATTACTTGATTTGAATTGTGTATATACCTAAGAAAAATGCCTGCATATAATAAGATCGCACCCATTATGAATTCATTGACTCCAAATGTTGAATTTGCCTATGTACTATAAACTTAATAATTGGTTGTCTATTGAATATGATGAACTATCATAATAATATGTACTCAAATGTTTAGTGCTAATTAAATAAGTTCACATTGGTTTAAAGGTTATTTTATTTTTTCTATTTTTTAGCATAATCAGCCTCATATATAGTACTTAGAGCAATTTAACATTGAATATTTTCATCAAAAAGTACACGAAGCAATTATTAGAGTTAGAGGTGGACCTAGAATTTAAAGGTGGTGAGGGCACATGATTGGATTGGTCAATTAGTGCCCCTGCTGGAACCTTTGGTCTTAGGGTTTCAAACAAAGTATATGACTGTTTTTAACATATATATATATATATA